AGACAGTTCCAAAGAGCTACAATCAAAATTTGGGAACAAATCCGATTTTTCTCTGGATATGTCACCACATAATGACGATAGCGCAAACATTTCTGAAAAAACATTTCAAACAAATTCAGAGAAAAAAACAAAAATGTTAGAAGATCTACAACCAAATGATCCACAGCAAACCTTAGAGGAAACCTTGCAGATTTCTTGTGATGTGCAAAGAAAAGGAGAAAAAAGCCCAAAGATTTTAGAATGTTTTCAAACAAATTCTGCTGAAACTTCTAAGATTTTAGATACTTTACAACCAAATAAAGATGAAAGCCCAAAGAGTCTACATGAATTAAAGCAGGAATTTGAGAAAAGTTCAGAAATTGTTGAAGGAAATGATCTGGATTTACAGCCAATACCCACAGAAAACACAAAAAGTGTAAAAACATCAACGAATGCCTCACAGATTCTAAATAATCAAAATTTAGATTCCAAAGAAAATGTAGATGTTCTGGAGATTCAGCAGGTCAGCCTTGAAAACAGCACAAAGTTCTCTTTTGACCCACAATTAAAGGAAATTAAGTTAGTTGTCAGTCCACAAAGCTCACAGGAAAATACTTCTTGTGCTACAGAGGATCTACAGACAGATTCTGGTAGTAAAAACATGCTATGGGAACACCAAAGTGAGCTGATAAACAATAACAAATGTATTGAGAAACCCGAAGAAACCCTAGACACACTAATGGATTTTGTAGGCACTATGTCAGAAGGTACAGTCACCACTGAGAGACCACTAGCCTCAGACAAAGGTCCAAGGTCAGAGAACCTACAAGTGAATGCAGAGAAGAGTTTAGACAGTTCCAAAGAGCTACAATCAAAATATGAGAATGAATCCCATTTTTCTCTGAATATGTCACCACATAATGACGATAGCGCAAACATTTCTGTTGATTTTCAAACAAATTCAGAGGAAAAAACAAAAATGTTAGAAGATCTACAACCAAATGATCTGCAGCAAACCTTAGAGGAAACCTTGCAGATTTCTTGTGATGTGCAAAGAAAAGGAGAAAAAAGCCCAAAGATTTTAGAATGTTTTCAAACAAATTCTGCTGAAACTTCTAAGATTTTAGATACTTTACAACCAAATAAAGATGAAAGCCCAAAGAGTCTACATGAATTAAAGCAGGAATTTGAGAAAAGTTCAGAAATTGTTGAAGGAAATGATCTGGATTTACAGCCAATACCCACAGAAAACACAAAAAGTGTAAAAACATCAACGAATGCCTCACAGATTCTAAATAATCAAAATTTAGATTCCAAAGAAAATGTAGATGTTCTGGAGATTCAGCAGGTCAGCCTTGAAAACAGCACAGAGATCTCTTTTGACCCACAATTAAAGGAAAATAAGTTAGTTGTCAGTTCACAAAGCTCACAGGAAAATACTTCTTGTGTTACAGAGGATCTACAGACAGATTCTGGTAGTAAAAACATGCTAAGGGAACACCAAAGTGAGCTGATAAACAATAACATATGTCTTGAGAAACCCGAAGAAACCTTAGACACACTTATAAATTCTGTAGGCACTATGTTAGAAGGTACAGTCAACACTGAGAGATCACTAGCCTCAGAAAAAGGTCCAACTCAAGAAGCAGCCTTTAATGCAGGAAGCAACTTAGATAATCAACATAAATTAATCAAAGAAGATGAACAGCTCATTGAAGTAGAACATTTAAAAGGAACAGAAGACCTGCAGCTAGATCCATGTGAGAACATAAATGTTTCACAACAACAGCAGCCCACAATAGAAAACATGCCAAAGATCACTGCCGATCTACAGCCTTATGGAAATATGCATTTAAGCATCAAAAAAGACTTACAACAATATACAAATGAAAACTGCAAGCCTGAGGAAGCAAATACAAATGTGATTTCTGAAGCAACAGTAGATTCTGCAATACAGAGTAGAGATATCTCACATACTGAACAGGAAATAGTCATGAATGGTTACTTAACAGGAAAGGATAATTTTCAACTAAATGAACAGGATAAATCAATGATTATAGAAGAAACACTAGTAAATGCACAACCCGATCTGAAGGTTTCAAAAGAACCTCAAACAAATGCAAAGGAATTCCCAACAATTGTAGAACAACAACAAATAAATGGTGAAACTAGTTGTGATACATTACATGAATTTAACTTGGTATCATCTACAGATGACGACACATCTGGGATTATTTCAGTTATTGACAATGCTCAGGATAAAAATATATCAGATGTGAAGCCTGTGCCAGAAAACGTTTTAAATAATGGTCTATCTCATGTAACAGAAACTATCAGAACTGTTTCTTTTGACAATGGTATTGAGTGTCGATCACCCTCTCCAACAATATCTGGCTCTCCGTCTTCTACTGATTGCACTGACATAAGGTGTGACAGTCCTCTACCTCTTTCAGATGCCATTGATTCAGGGATAGTTTCATCACAGGCATACACACCAGAAGAACATATGCCAATTAAAATATTGCCTTCTGAAATATTCAGCAAAAGCATATCTGATTCTTTTAATAGCAGCCAAGAGGACAAAAGGACTGGACACGTTGAGTTAATAGCAGAAAATGTAGATAACACTCTGCCTGAAGCCCCTCTTCTTGAATATGCAGTCAAAAAACAAAATGAGCCATTAATAGTGGAAACAGGAAGCCAGACAGAACCAAATAGTTTACCAGGTGTGGAACATGTATTTTATGCTGACAATGGCTGGGCAGATGTAGATGGTGATGTATCAGGTAGACATTTAACAAATGAAATAAGGAAACCAAACTTGAATTCAGATGTTTATGTTGCCAAAGTGTCTGTGAAATCTGTGAACATTGAAGAAGTAAAACTTGCTCCTTATGAATTCCATTCAGACATCATATCAGTAAGTAAAGTTGAAAGTGCAACATATGACAAAGAGCTAATATGTTTACCAAACTTTTCACCTCCACCTGCCGAGGCAGAACATGACAGCAAATTCCAAGATTCAAATTCAAAAGGTCAACAGGATAAAGAAAGCTTTGTCACACATACAGAAGTGCCTACTGACAGAAATGAAACAGACCTATCTGTGAATAATGTTAATCTGCCTTTTCATGAACCCAGCCTGTTTTCTGATTTCAATAATTATGAAAAATCCCCACACCACTGCTACATGGAGGCTGAAAGGTTTCCATCATTAAACAAAATTGATGTGGTTGAGAAGGTTGTAAATATGTTTTCGAATGATTACGTCGGTGATGATATTCCCCAGTACACATTTCTAGAAAAAGGTTCACCAACATTACCAGGGAAATCGCCTGATGTACTTAAAGAAAATCTTAAAAATAACAATTTAACGATTGATACAAGTGATGACATCATAAATATATCACTTCAGACCAACACACCAGAAAATGAATTAGCAAATGAGTCAGTAATGTCTGATGATTCACACTGGGAACTACAATGCTGTGATTCACTTTCAGAATTCCATCCAAACGATGATGTGACTCATAAAGAACCAGTAAAGGAGAGAGATGTAATACTTCAGTCTACATTTCAAAGGGATGTAAACTTCATAGATGGCATAAATTCTTCAGGCTCTGCAACTTCAAAAACATCCCTTCCAAGCACAGAACATTCAGAGTTATCCAGTGAATTGTTTGAGCAAAAAGCCAGTGAAATAATTTTCTCGGTGTTGCATTCTGCCATTGATGAATTTCAGAACCGGAATAAAAACCATATAAACACACCAAGTTTAGGTACAGTTAAAGAAACGTTAGTTGAGAACCGTTTATCCCCAGATAAATTCAGCAAAAATATAGAGAATCTGACCACTGATCCAGTTATATCAACTGTAGCATCAAGATTAGTCAATGATGTTATATACTCATCCAAACAGATCATGCAAAATAGTTTAGACAAAAACATTGGTACAAATAAGGATTGTACACAGACATCTATGGTTAGTGTAAATGGCCCAGATGAGAACACTAGACAATCAAATCAAAATATTTATTTGTTAGATGTTGACAGTTCAGAACTTCTCAACTCTTATGAAGTCAATTCTAATGTACTCTTGCCAATTCCAACAAGTGATTCAGGTGAAGAGACTGAAGAGAGCAATGATCTGAAAAGGACAAGAGATACAGAGGAGATTTTGAATGAGTCCAGACACCTAGACAAAGAGGCATTGCAAAATGGAGTTTGTGTGCAAGCTGAAAGCTTTTCTAACTTGGAAGCAATGATACAAGGTTATACAGAGAATCAAAATCTGAGGTTTGATTTGGGACTTGATGGAGACCAAGGAGGTTTTTACTCTAAATCTCTTGAAACTGAAGGCTCCATGAACACGCCCTTTATTTATAATTTATTCGGTGAGAACCCATGCATTTCTGAAACAGAATGTATTGACCCTTTTCAGTTTTCACTATATAATAGTAAGTATGTGGAAATAGGAAGTGATGATGAGTCAACAGAGGAGGAATCTGATAATAATGAACAGGCCAGTGCAAGTGATATGTTTCTTACTCTACCATCAAGACGTGTTAGGGTTTATCCCCTTTCTCTCTCTCCTATATATGAGGATGATAGTGCTTGTGAAGATGATGTATCCAATAGCAGTTCACCAAGGTATAATAAAGGAACAGCAACAGGTGGAAGTGCTAATGATCATACATCAATATTATCTCTACTGCAGTCTGTTTCAGATCGCCTAAAGGAAGCCAACGTAGAAGAAATGTGTATTGGAGGAAAATTGACATCTCTAAGTGAAGCGGCTGCTGTTAGTGACCTGGATAATACAGATGCATCAGGAACACAGGAGGATACATCTGCTCCAACTAAGTCAAATCTTGATGCACAGAAAACACTATTGGAGGAAACATCAGGAGAAAAAAGATCTGGTTTGTTCATTAGAAAAGCAGAAAACAAGCTGATTACAGGTTCTGGCCGTCATTCTTTTCTTCTAAAGTCTACTGCACTTAGTGCTAAACCTTCTGAAAATGAATCTTCGCCATCAGCAACAAGTGAATCTAGCTCCATTGCTAATAAGGATCTGTCTCCAGATGCTGTTTCTCTGACTGCTCTTTCTCCACTACAAATGGTGACAGATGCTGGATTGTCCGCACCAAAACCTGAGATAAAATGTCAGCCCAGAACGTCATCCAAAAGTGTTTACTATCAGTATTTCCATTCTTCTCAGAACTACTCACAAGGTACAGAAAATAAGGAAAACCCCACCCAAGCAAAAGTAGGTTTACCTACAGAAGGGGAATCCAAGGAAACAGAACATCCACTAATGGTGAGAACTTGCTCTGTTTGTTAAAATGGTTAGTCCACTTAAAAAGGATATTTCAGGTGATGGTCGTTGCTGGACAGTTACACCATCTGAAAGTTTCATATATCTCTCAGGGACCCAGATGATGAGATCTCTTTGCTTAAAGTGACACTAAACTCAGGAGTTAAATCTTAAAATACATTAAAGTACCCTAACTATAAACAAAAATGTATCTTATTTGTGTATCACTCGGCTGTAGATCCTCAAGTCATCTCTGAATTGGTGCTGACCCTGTCCTTCCTTCTGCAGGGTGGCTACTTTTGATCCCCATGGTCCCTGTGTGTGGTGTAACAAAGCCACCACTCCAAGCTCACTCCTATGATGGGGTACAATCGCAGGCTTAGTTTATTCGTTTGTATTGACATTGTAGTCTATTATGGCAACAAGCTTGGACTGGTGGATACTTTACAACACACACAAGAACCATGGGGAATAAAAGTAGCCACCCTCCAGAAGGTAGGACAGTGTCAGCACCAATTCAGAGATGATTTGAAGATCGACAGCTGAGTGATACACAAATAAGATACATTTTTGTTAATAGTTAAGGTTCTTGAATGCATTTTTAAGATTTAACTCCTGAGTTTAGTGTCACTTTAAAGCAAACCTGTGTTCAGGGCAAAGCAAGAGGTTTGCTTTAATCCTCCTCCCCAGCATATACTTATCAAGGGGCGTAACCAGAAATCCCTGGGCCCCATAGCAAAATTTTGTATGGGGCACTGTGATTTCTAGTTATGCCCTTGCAGAGCCCACCTAATATCTCAAACAGCCCACCTGAGAGTGACCTCGCAGAGCACACCATAGACTCTCTATGGTGGGCTCTGCCGGGTCTCAGGTGGGCTGCACACCTCTTACCTGTCAGCCCCGATCCGCTGTCCGCCTCCATAGTTGCTGGCAGGCCCCGCCACCTCCGTCGCCGAGCCCTACCTCCTGTTGCCTCCTCCGCTTCTGACGCCGGGCCCAGCCTTCCTCCTCCACAGCTGCTGGCTGTCACCAACTCAGCAGCGGCTGTGAGGAGGAACGGGCCGCTGCACAGATCACTGACAGGTTGTCGGTGATCTAACAGCGACACGTTCCTCCTCACACACACCAGTGACAGCCAGCAGCCTGAGATGCCATAGCGACCCAGGCGGCCCGCACGGCATCAGGGGATGTCCTGGTCGGGGCCCCCTGTGCCCCGGGCCCCATAGCGGCCGCTTGGGTCGCTATGGTGATTGTTACGCCACTGTACCTATCTGCATTTGGTCCACATAAGCCACTTTGTTCAGCACCAGGAGCCAAAGTAAATATCTGGTACTTCAAGGTATGGAGGAGCATGAGACTCATTCCAAGTGACAGCGCAGAGCCAATCAGAGTTGTCACACAGAGAAGCCTCAGCTCTGTGTCAGCTATGATTCTGTATACTTGTCGCTTATATAGGAATTGCTTTCACTCTCGGCAGAAGAGAAATGTGGGTGAGCCAGTGGAAGGTATAAATGTGCTGCTGGGGATGGCAAAATTAAAATGAAACTTGCTTTTCCCTGGACAGATTCACTTTAAGTTCATCTCAGTTATAATCCTGTAGCCAATATGAGGAGATCTCTGTGTTGGATTTTTTTTTTAAATTATTATTTTTTTATTTTAGAATACGTAGTATGCTGGGAAAATCTGAACACCCACAACTACCTGTCAGAGAGAAACAGAGCCAAGAAATAATAGCATGGATATTTTGCTGTTGCCGCATCCAAGACATAATAGTTCCCTCTAGAGCAGCCTACAAGGCTCCACCTTTGCAGGGAGGTGGACCCTTTAAGATAGGATGTTCCACATCTCTTAAGTCGTGTATGTTTGTCCCGATGAATGTTTTTAGGAGTTACAATATCAATATATAAACAACTATGTCATTTTTATATATTTCCCCATTTTGCCAATACTGCTGGCAATTTCATGATATAAATAAATGACATAAAAATAATAAAGTTCTACCCATCATTAGCATGTCTGGCTTGCTGTATGTTGAAGTTGTTAATTGATTTTTATGGAGGAGGATCAAATGTACCAGGATTTTGCAAGGCAATTACACAATTATGCTTGCTGATTATACTCCCAATTGTATCGTGTACTGTAATACCAGCTGTCAGTAGGGATTCTTTGTTATTGCATATTAACAAAAAGACATCTATTTTGGAAATTGCTGGGGATGCTGGAACGTTATACTTACTGTATGTTACATGATCACTGATGAATGTCGCCACACTGTTACGTACACATGGTATAAAACAGGTATCCATCTAGTAAAATCTAATTGTTTTCCCCTTATTGACTTATATGCAAAAAAAAAAAAAAAGTAGAAATACATAATGAAACAAAAGGCAGCCTTTACTTTATCTTCCTAGGCTCCACTTTTACACTGCAAATTGTGCTTGTGTCAGCATTTTCATATCCACACAGCATGCTATAGTTTAAAGCAAACCTTAATGAAAATAGAAATGTATCAAAGTTGCTTGCATAGCACTAATGTTAGTAAAATGTAAACTGTTGTATCCCCTCACTCTGCACAATCTAGCACAGATACTAGAAAATTATAGATTGTAGTGCCATTCAATTATCCTTAGTTTTAAGAGGCAATGCTGTAGTTCATTGCATTATTTTTGTCTCCCCTTAAAGTGACACTAAACTCAGGAGTTAAAGCTTAAAAATTCATTCAAGTACCTTATCTATTGACAAAAGTGTATCTTATTTGTGTATCACTCGGCTGTAGATCCTCAAATCATCTCTGAATTGGTGCTGACACTGTCCTTGCTTCTGGAGGGTGGCTACTTTTGTTCCCCATGGTCCCTGTGTGTGTTGTAAAGTAGTCACCGCTCCAAGCTTGCTCCTGTGATGGACTACAATATCATGTTTAGTTTACTAATTTGTATTGAGATTGTAGTCCATCATGGGAGTGAGCTTGGAGCAATGGCTACTTTACCTTTTTGTTAATAGTTAAGGTACCTGGATGTATATGTAAGATTTAACTCCTGAGTTAATGTCACAATCTTGACTGGTGTTTTTTGGGGGTTTTGGATGGTGTGGGCAAAGGTGAAATATGTCAGGGATGTTTCTATCAGTACAGATAGAGAGTCACTGGGACCGGAAGTGGGGAAACATTTCTTCAGCAGTGGCACAAGCACAAGGGGGAAGGGTTAGGACTTCAATCAGGTGGGTTTTGTTGTTTGTCTCCTCACTGGGGAGTTTTCCTCTTACTTCTTCCCAGTGAGCTTCAGTGAGTTAGGATGTGACAGGGACAGGAAATTAGTGGACATTTCACCAAATGGGGGCACAGACAGCAGAAAAAAAAACCATACAGACATTCTCTATCCAAAAAAAAAAGGTTGACTGGAGTTTGAAGGGTTGACTCCTAGGCTGTAAATTACTTGCTCCCCTTAGTACTGCAAAGGAGACTAAATATAGTGACCCCAGTGATTTAGTAAATAACACGCTAATGTTTTTTAATAACAATCGAATGCAAATGTGGGGCCCTTATCTTAAGCTGAAGCATCCCTATTCAAAATTTGGTGGACCTCTGGACCGTAGTCAAACAGAGCTCTAATTGTATTGTTTCTGTATTCATTAAGTTTGCCTGAAGGCTCCATTCACACCTAGACATTTATGCATTAAAAATGGTTGAGGGAAAAGAACACATTTGTTTCTCTGGCTCCACATATACCTCTTTAATATATGCCTACCCCCTGTAATTTTGCAGCTTACAAATACAAACTTTTCTTTGTGTTTTCAGAACAATATGGATTTCGGCTCCTTAAAGTTCAACCCGAGGCCCGGAAAGGTAAATCCTGAACTAATGGAGTAATGTGTTGTCATTTAAGCTGATGTAAAGAGATATAAGTAAGCACTTAGTCATATTCCAGCTGCTTTTCCAGTGCTGGCTCCTTAGTAACATCCAACCCCATTTATCAGAGCCTGTTCTTGTTACATAGAGCAATCTGTCAAATTATTTTATCCTAACTGTGCAGAATCAATTTAATTGAACCTCCTCCCCTTCTCTACAATACAAGTCTGTGTGAGGACATTTGTAATTAGGGGTGTGGCTGTTACTCAGCTTTGGCAGTGCAGAGAATTGGAATGGTAGATCAGAAGCAGCAATTTCACTCTGTGAAAAATGTATTACAAGACATTATAAGCAAAATGTAGTCACAAATCATAAATTCTGGAAACAGGACTATAAAGACATAAAAAGGTATTAGACTTTAAGCTCTGCCTTCAATGGCAAATCGCAGATCTACACTGAATTACAGCATGAAAAACTTTCTTACCACTGCAAAGCAATACAATGCAATGTTTGGAAAGATCCATTCCCTCCAAAACATTGAGTTGCACAACTTGTAATTTGTATCATATTCCTTGTATTTTGCCTACATTGGAATATGCAGTAAAATGCATGACATCACACTTAGGCCTCATTGACACGACTAGCAACCGGGCCGTACAGATCCGTGCTTAGCACACGGCCGTAACGGGCGGTTCCCGGGAAGGACAGGTGCTGCGTGTGATTTGTACGCAGCAGCCTGTTCTTCTCTATGGGAGTACGTCGCCGTACGCTCACCCGAACTGCATATCTGTGCGGGTGTCTCTGCTCGGATGTAGACAGGATCCATCCTGTCTGCGTCCGAGTAAGGACACCCGCACCCGCATGGACATGCAGTTATGGTGAACATACGACCACGTACACCCATAGAGAAGAACAGGCTGCTGCGTACAAGGGACAAGACAGAGCGCCTCCATAGTGTAAAAGTGTAATTTATTTGTACAACACGCAAATAAAAATGTACTTACAGGAAAGTCGGTGGTTAAAAGCATACAAATGGTGATGAAGTATAAAATCTCTAGCAGCGGAAGTCTGAAGGAGTACAGCACATCAGCGTCCTCTGCCCCCTTGAGTTCTAAAGGTCAATCACACGCAGCACCTGTCCTTCCCGGGAGTGACCCGATACGACCGTGCACGCCGCACGAATCTGTACGGGCTGGCTGTTAGTCATGTGAATGAGGCCTTAGATACAATATTATAATTGTCACAGTGTATAGTTTCAGAGACATTTCTGTGTGTAAATAGGTGTATTTAGGCCTTGGTTCACATAGCAGATCACAGTACCCTAAAGATGATCTCCCCTCCTGATGAGACCGGTATCTAATACTGCAAGCACAGAATTTGGCACCACAATTACATTTTCGGACGGCAAACCTCGACATTGTTGCAGCCAACGTATTTTAATTTACCTAATCTGATTTATTGATTTTTATGTGAGGGTTTCCGTTTATCTCATTTAAAAGCTGTTTTTTTCAACACCAGCACACTGCATACTAATAGAACCCGTTCAGTGTCAGGGGCGCCAGTAGTTCATTACAAAACAGCGACATAATTAACTTGTATTGCTAAACACTCGTCATCAACAAATTACTCTGCAGAACAAGGCAAGCTCCTCTGAAGGTTCAAGGAGTTGCCTTTGTGATCTTTACACAACATGGCAAATTAACATTTTATTAGCAAACTACAAAGGAGCTGTTCTAATATGCCCCTGGCTGGTAATAAATAATCCTAATTGATTCCAGGCTGATTTATCTATTTCCAGAACATGAGCTAGGGGTTGTGGCTTGGGATTAACAATGTGTCTGAGTCTTTGCCAAACATATCTGGGGTAAAACACCATTAGGGTTTTGGATTTTAGGGAATTATTTGGGGAAATATGGTTCAGCATGGAACTAGAGATGCAGATGAATGAACTGTAGGAACTTTAACCAGATCCTTTAGACTTCTATACAGACTCCGCTCGGGCATTCACACAGACTGCTGAATCACTGATTTTTATCCTGGTGTTCACATTATGTGCAGTAGCTGACTACCCCAGCAAATATAGGTATTCACATCTCCAGAAAAGCCTTGGTAGTTGCTTGTACATCCATAAATCCGAAACAGAAAAAATCTGGGACCAGCGTTCCTTAGTTCCAAGTACTGCCATCTCTACATCTCAAAGCAGAAGGTTGTACAACAACAGCACAAGGCTGCGGTTCCATCAAGGAGCACTGAGAAAGGTTTTCTAAATCTGGTTGTCTTTGTTGCAGTCTTTGTTTGATTCTGTTAGTCATTAAACAAGGCAGGAAATGTCTGTGACTTTTTTTTCAGTTCTTTTTGACTGCTTCTGTTATGGTGGAAAGGCTGTATTTCCCACTTAGCAAATTAATTGCTCTTAGCTTTTGCAGGGGCGTTATAGTGTGGTTGGGAGATGGCTCTATATTGAGGCTGTTATCCATCATCAGCTAGACTAATTTCTTGCGGCATGCCCAATAATGATTCTCTTGCTCCAACCCAGATTAATATAAAATGATGCACTAATTTATTGTCTGTGTGCTGTGGTAATAGACCAGCTGCCAAATGTAGCAGCATAGATCGGGAACTAAGCTGCAAACCCCGTGGGCTTACCTGTAGCCATGTCTAGCTTGTTAATTTGTAAAGGTGTATCTTAACCAGATTATTTAGTAAGGTATTGCTGGGAGAAACAGTGAAGTGCAGAATGCACTAACCCCTATAAACCTTCCCACATTTCAGTTTACTTACCCTCACATTTATAATTTTGAGATTAAAGGGTGGGTCCACCTAAAAAAATCCATTAGGCTTACATAGGGCTTAATGCTTTGGCTGGGGAACCTGCGGCAAGTCCTGTGTGAATAGAGACTAAGGCCTTGTTCACACCAAGCGCGTTCCAGGAGCAGAGCAGAGCAGTTACAGACTGGAGCAAAAATGTGTCCAATGTATTCCAATGGTATTTTTAGCCCCAGTTCTCATCGCAGCGTTCCGTTCCACAGCAGGTAGAAAAACTGCAGCAGGCCTTAATTTACCTGCTCTGGAACGCATGCAAACGCATCAAAAATGCATGCAACCGCCCTGGAACGCACTGAAAGCCCATTTTAAACTAAAAATAAAAAAATTTAACCAAAAACGGCCCGGAACGCATCAAAAACACGGCAAAAACACGCCACAACCCACTGCACTGCGTGTGCAGAAACTCATGCAGATCTGCTCTGCATTTGGTGTGAACAAGGCCTTAGGGACTCTATTTGAGTTCCTTGAGTTCCTGGATCTGCATATCTGCTGTGGCGATTATATATAGATATATACTGTGTGTATATATATAGAATCTATATATAGATTCTATATATAGATATATATAATGCAACAGGAACAGAGTCAGAAATTGTAGCAGGCATATCTCACTGTTGGAGTTTCCAACACTGATTTATCCCATCAGGCTCTATCTGTAATTATATTATTATTTGTGGTGGACTGACCCTTTGCCAGCTTCGGTGGATGTTAGTCGTGGAAGTGGCATGGTTCTGAAACACTGAATTGAGTAATGAATTCTATCCAGAACACAACAGCCTCATGTTCCTGCATTCATGGTAGAATTCAAGAACCCAACCTTTACTCTGAATATAGGACCTTGATACTTTAGGTTCATGTACTGGAAGCGCATATACAAAGGTATTATGTGCTGACAGCCTTTTTGTACAGTGTGTATCCATTTAAATGACTTATAAAGGCATATACCTTTTTTTTGTTCACATACACTAACTATATAAATCTTTGCCTGATGTTTCCAAGACATGGTTACATTTTGTGTGCAGATGTCAAGACATCAAACGTGGATCAAGTGCCTACACACTGAGCCAAATTATGTTGTTATCTTAACTCAATGCAGGTGATCCTGTCAGATGTTATACATCATGAGAACAAGATTGAACTGAAAGGAGACGCTCTTGATGCAACATCCTGGTTGTTCCCAAATGGTGTAAATATCCGTGTGATCAGAGGATGGTAAGGGAAAATAGGAAACACATTTTGAATTCCAACCAACTTACCGCACAGTTTACTACAAATGTGTCACTTTTACAATGCTGTTACATTTTTATTGCTTACTTGACAACTGTTAATACAAAAAAATATGGATTATCAGTTCCAACTCATTTGTTTTTATGTTGCTGGATGTATTTGGCTTTTTTTAACAGTAATCTTTTTCATTTCTCATACTTTGGATCTTTGGAAGGAGCTAAAAACCTATCAACTCCTACACTAAATGATAAAAACACTTTAAAGCATTTTGTGTAAATCTAAGATCAACTGAATATCTGTACATCCAAGACCAGATGTACAGTGCGCCTTACAGCTGATTTTGACTAGTAACACATTTAGCCCAAACCTCCCTAAATGTAATCAGAGAGCCCTAAAGGATAAATGTTGTGTATTAAATGGTCAGCCCTCCAAAAGTCATATTTCAGTTTATAGTAGATGCTGGGGACTAAAACAGCTGAATTTTCTTTATATCTTTTGTGGAGACCGTGGGGAGACCTTTATCCTATTTCTTAGGTCTGCACATCTGCATTACAAGGTGTTCCACTGTCTTTGTTGAAATTTTTGAGTTGAACTCTAGGCTAAACAGTTAAACACATAGATGGAATACATTTATGTTTATTGTTTTATATGCCAAAAGATTGGTCATTTTGGGCAGCCATGCTGGTGATAACAGATACCAGCTGAACTGCTGAAACGAAAAAGACAAATTGCTTAATGAGGAACTCCAAATTGCCACCTGTCTGGCAGTGCAATGTGGAAAATGGGGGGCAAATTACCAGATGGGCTGCACAAAATTAAAATCGTCTTTAAGTTAAAACAGTAAACATATATGTATTTCTACTGTGTATTTTGCTGTTTTCCCTGGGTTTCACACTAATTTATTCTTGGCAATTCCTAAAGAGTATCTAATACACTCGTAAGAATTCCGTTGTGCATACAGACGACACAGCCGATAGCGTCTTTAACAATCAGTGATGCTTACAGTGGCCAGAACCTGAAGGGAATGCCAAGGCACTAGTTCCCTATCAGGTCTTCCTGGTAGTGATTGACAGCAGGCAGTGGGTGGCATAACCAATAGCAGGCTGTCTATTGGCTTTGGAATCCGCCCACTGCCTGCTGTCAATCCCCAGCGGAGCGGATTTGATGGGGAACTAGTCCCTCAGCTTCCCCATCAGACTATGCCCACTGGATGTGTCATTGGTTGCTAGGAGGCTGCCAGTTGTGCTGACAGCCTCCTAGCAACCAATGACTCATCCCTGGCCTCATTCAGCTGCCGGTTGAGAGATTTCCCAGCATTTTCCTGTCCCCTAGATATAAACACGCAGTTAACCCTTAACGTGTGGGATAGCAGTGAAAACTTTTAATTTCTCTGGAGTTAGGCTATAAATCCTGGCAACAACGGTCATCAGAACAAATAGAGAGGCTGACACTCCCCATGCACGCTAAGTGGATCACATAGAGGAATAAAACATTTACAGGGGTTCTATCCCCTCTCCATTATATCCAAAACTAAACAAAATTAGATTGTAAGCACCCTTTAAGTTCCTTGCCATTCTATACCAAGTTTTCAAAGCTGTTCCCTCATTAAAAACAAACTTCATCCCTGCCATGATAATGCGGGCAGACAGCAGTGTACAAAGGTTTATTTTAAATATATATTAGTGTAAATATCATTGCCGTAAACTAGAAGGCATTAAAGGCAGCGGGATAATCCCGTGTTTCCATAGTAACAAACGACTTCCGAAATGTGAACTTCAAAGACAAAATCTGCATTTTGCATGTTGGATAATGAAGCTTTCACTGGTGGACACAACTACCTGGCAGAGCTGCCGGCACCTGTGAAATATTTCACATTCCTCTCAGAGATGCTCTTTAGCTCACTTATTAAGGCTGTTAAACATCAGGATTTATAGTCCGGCTTTCGAGTGACCACTTCATCTTTTTCTAATATTGTCTGGAATGTGTTTAGTGCATGCAAGTATTCTGCACAATTTATGGTTTGCTTTCCAGAGGAAATTGCTTATTTTCTATGTTGGCTGTGTTTACAAAAGGGAGAAAAATAACAGCTTAGGAAGCGATAAGAAGAAATATATATAAAGACGGAGTGTCTGAGTGTATTGTGAAATAAAAACAGATCTGTGGCATATAAATGTATGTTTCCTGCCAGTGTATACAATTGGCACCATCCAGAGAATGTGCAGGGATATTCAGTAAAGGAGTACAAAGGGGCAATAATTACAGGAACCCATTGGGATCTGTCTGGTACTAGTCTGACTTCAATGAGTGAATTCTGATTGGTTGCTTTGGGTAATTGCACATTGTACAATGCTTTACACCCACTTGCTGAATAAGCTAATTGCATCATATTCTTCCAAAAGATCTAGCACTGCAGTCTGGGATCTATAACATTATTCTGCTGATAATACAATCATCTACAAAGACATCTATCATTTTAGCATGTATACATTTTGTGCTATTATGATCCATTTACAAATACATGTTAATGTGAATTACACATTTTTATTAGCTAGTTGTGGCAAATGTAAAATTATCTGACATACAAGCGTATAGATGCTTCATTTTCATTTTATTGCTTAAAGCTGAACTCCAGCCTTATCTTTAGTCTTGCACAGTTGTACGGACTCCTCTCCTGTACTGATCTTGCTAACTCTGATTTCACTGCAAACTGTGAGCTGCTCATAATGCACATTAGAAGCTGCAGGAAGTCAGACAGGGCCCGCCTCATTTCGGGCTGGAGAATGTTCCGCATCATCTAACTTTTCCTTCCCAGCTTGACTGTCTCTGACCCGCCCCTTTCATTCATTGGATTTAAGGTCTTTTATCATGGCGGCTCGGCATCACATGTGGGCTTTGCCTAGGGCAGTCTGCATACAAATGCAGCCTGCCTAGGAAGGCCCACTCCCCCACATGTCAGACATTTTTTACATTTGCAAAACTCCTCTCAACGGCCAGCCCACTGCTTGCATCATTGTTGTGGGTTCTTGTTTTCAGGAAGCACCCTGACAGCTCCTCTCACCAGCCGGGATCTACTTGCATGTCACAACTAGAGGCACAGTGATGATATCAATAGGTCTAAAATAAGATGATGAAAATGGAAAGGTTTTATTTAAAAATTGTATTAACATGCTGATTAGGAGGGAAAGGGAACCAGGGAAGGCAAAATATAAGTGCAATAAATGTCAGCTTTAATGATTTCTGAGAGAAAAGCAATTAGTGGGTAAGCCACCTAGAAAGTGTTTTGCGTTCATTAAAGCAGAACTCTAGGCAAACAGCTAAATGCACATCTTAATTACATACATATGTATTATGTATGTTAATGACATACATACATACAATATATGTTTACAGTTTTTGTATCTTTTATGTATCTTAATTACATACATGCACACAGTATATGTTTACAGTTTTACGTGCCAAAGTTGCCATTATTCTGTATGGTCTTGTGGTTTACAGACCTTACTTTATACCAAAGCAGGTGATGCACTTATTTACTGATTGGCAATTCAGCTTCCTTTGTCATCTCTCTGCATTCAATCCCATTCAGTGAGCAGGAAGGTGCTCCAGGAAGCTGTAAAGTGGAACCAGCAAGTAGTAAAGTAATCTTATTGGATGTAATATGCCAGTGTTTAAATCACAAGGGTCTGATCAAAGTTATAATTATTAATGACAACCATTACAATTATCTGCAGCTATTAAACCATGCAAAAATGTAACGAAGTGGACTGAAATCTTTTTCTTTAAAGGAGAGTTATGGGGAGAGAGTGAAATACACTCATCCCCATAATTAAAACCGATGTGTGACATTGCAGCTGTCACAAGTCTGCTCTGTGGATTCGAGAACTGAGCGATCACACACCGCCGATCACTCAGATCCTGATTATCTCCCTGCAGAGAGCGGTGACTGTCAGTCATCGCACCCCGTAGGGATTCCCCCCTCCCCTCTTCGATCCTCCAGCGGTGAACAGACTTGTTCTGTCTGGGAGGGAACAGACTTGGGAGGGGACGGGCACAGCTGGCTCTGCCTCTAGAGAGACAGGGCGGTGGATCCCGACAATATTGTCAGGATCTGTCCCAGCTGCAGTGCAGCTCTGTGCTGTCAGCATATAGTGGGCAATAGCACGCTATATGCTGAGGACATTAGTATATGTCTTTCTGTAAAGAGAACTCTGGCAAAAAAAAGGTTGGGCCATAGTTAGTTTAATTCCCTAGTGTTCTGGAGAATAAATAAGTGTTTCTTGTGTGATAGTTAAAAATGATCATCAGAAGATCATCATTTCACTTTATAGGCAGAAGGTGGTTACATTGGGCAAAACAGCACTAAGGACTCTTCTAGTCATTTATGGGCTATGATTTACTAGACAGTGTCCATAGGTATAGATAGATAGATAGATAGATAGATAGATAGATATTTAATTTCTTTCCAGCTTAAAGGAGTTATAACAAAGACAACTGACTCCTCATTAGCATGAACATCTGTACTATACTTTCACCTTATTATTGACTTATATAAAATACATGTATACGGTAAGTGTTTGCAGATGTGTATGTTTATACAGTATATGATATATTTCTGTGTGCATGTATGTGTGTAGGTGTTTGCCTTTTGGTAATAACGTAACAATATCTTCCAGATGGTTGTACAAAAGCCGGAGTAATTTTACTTCCGAAATGTGTCTGCGTGTCTCTGCCTGCGTTCTCTCATTACAGTATTTATTTCTCCATCACAGCTGGATCCTGTATGAGAAGCCACACTTTGAAGGTGAAGCACATGTCCTTGAAGAAGGGGAAGCTGTGTTACTGCACCTCTGGGATCCTCCAGGAGCCAGAGCTAAGCCAGATAAAATCAGCATAGGGTCAGTAAAGAGAGTAGTGAAGGTACGTAGGAAATATATGATATTGCACGTATGCATTGCGTTTACCCCATGGGCAACATCTTTATTTGATGGAACACTGTGCTTAAAGGAAAGTAGATGCTAGTGTTGATTTTCAGTTGGTGAATGGGTTAGTTCTATTTTTAAGTGGAAATAATAGCAGTCACATCACATTATATATAAAGATTGTATTCATTCATTGGTTATCAGACGTTGGTATAGTACATTTATGCTCAGTGACAAGCTAGTACGATTACATGAGGTTTGGAATGGATCCTATCCCTGGACGCATCTACCGTGGGTCCAGTAATAGTGATCTAATCCAATCTGCATGTAATCGTGTCGCATCTGTAATTGTGTGGCTTACTGATGTAAGATTTTTAAGATTTAACTCCTGAGTTTATTGTCACTTTAACTTGAACAGGTGACATTGGTCTCTTCTAATCGGAATATTTCGGATTCCTGCTGCAGAAATCCATAGGCTCCCGTCTCAGGAATCTCAAAACAGCTACTGAATGAAGCCTAAGGCATCATACATTCAGGTGCTATAGAATGCATTCCATAGTAGATCACACGTAGTAAATTCTATTTATATATGCTGTAGTCCAGGGGTGCCCACAAGGTCGATCGCGATCTACCAGTCGATCGCGTAGCGATCACTGGTAGATCGCCATGTCCTCTCCTCCCGCCGATACGCCCCCTCCCACCCCTGAATGCAGGTGTTTTTTTCGTTGGTAGATCTCAATGAGTTCGTCATTTGAAAAGTAGATCTCCAGACGAAAAATAGTGGGCGCCCCTGCTGTAGTCTATGAGCTCATCTCTGCATATATAGTATGATGGGCCAGTAGTAAATTCTGTGAGAATATAATTTGCTTGTCCACGCACAATGAATGGGTTGGTGTACATGCATATCATTTAGTAAACCAAGTCCAGTATGTGCACTCAATAAGAAGTGCTGCATTGATTGCTTGAATTATCATTGCCTGGTAATACTATTAATGTTATATGCCTGTCCTTGGTTTAATGGTGCTGTATAGATGGAGAATTGTTCTACACCTGCAGGTTACCTGAGACCTTTACTTTATGTTCATGAAATTCATTTCTCTGTCTAATTTTAGGTAAGCTATTCATAGCTGATTTCTGATCGGTTGCTAGGATTACATCACTTTATTGAACTTTGTATTTTCTAAGCTCCACCAAAGTTTATGGACTATCACTGTCACATTTCTAAAGTAAAATGCTAGGATGTATCTTGTTTCTATTTCTATTCATTTTTATATGCAGTACATCAGCGCTTAGTCTTAAAAACCTGATTTCAGAATGAACATTTTTACATATTTTCTCAATTTATACTTGGTACTGATATAAAACATGTTTTCATAAGTTGTGTACAGCACTATGAAATGTATGGATTAAAATAAAACTTCAATGTATTCAAGCAGGGCAAATGTTACAGGGAGCGCAGTCTTACGCTTCTAGCCATATCCTCCAGCTTTGACATTGTAAGGACATTGTAGGCCAATGGTGATGCTATAATATGGGCTGATGTGACATCTTATTTTGGATAAGGGCTAATGCCCGGTTATATGCCCGAGTTTCTTTTTTTGTTTTTATGTTTCAATAATATGCTTGTAAACTCTATCACAATGCTTAGTTTAGATTTTAATGTTAGATTTGTCAATCAGAGCATGTTGTTGTATTAATTAATGTAATGATGACAAATTCTGTAGCACATTACAGAGGTATTTCAGCAGTCCTTATCTCCAAGGAATTCTAATCTTTCTACCACAGTCCTGAAGTCACACAGCACATGCCGGCAGGGGTTCATATTAGACTGTATTGTTGTGGGCACTCCATTAAAACACCCATATGGGCAAACCTTAGCCATAATTACTGATATGCTGTTGTGTGCTAGAATAACTTGAAAAGGACTCATACATTAGAACCAAAATGGATGCATACTAATTAACATACTAGTATGTTTTTTACTTGATGAAGAAGACCAAGGCATTCACATGATGCACATACAATTTCAATGAAGATACTGTTGTTGGGTGAAGTAAATTTAGAGGTGTAAATTGAGCAAGCTAATCAGTAGCCACCAAGCTCCCAACTATCTTATCAAAATGAAGTGTAACATAGCTTGCAATTTTTAAATAGTTTACACAGTCACAGAACTCTATGGGACTTGGTATTTGAATGAGGACCTGGAGATGAGTACAACTAAAGTGTTACTGAACTTTCACATTAAAAGATATATGCAAGTCTATCTTCAAACACTGATTCCCACCTTCTGTTTTTCTATGCAAAACAAGCTTTGAAAAGGGTTTTTTGTAGCAGTCATTTCACTCTGCCCCACCAAGCTCCAAAGTGTTGTCTTTGAACTTCCAGCCTGAGGCTTGAGCAGTGTGTGTATCAATATGCTAGCCTCAGACTACATATACCATGATGCCTTGCACTGGCATTCTTCAATATGCATACATGCGTCATCATGGGGGGGTCCCAGCTAATGAGCCTAGGAGGGTGCTGCTGAACTACCTAAATGGTATTTGTAACCATAGGGAGGGGAAATTAGATAGTTCATATTAGCTGAAAGGTCCACTTTAAAGGGATAAAACATGATATAATGTGTATGTATTCCAGAGATGTATGGCATGTTTTTCTTTTTTTTTTTCTTGACATGCACTTTTCATGCCTTTTATTTGTTCTCCTCAGGATTACCTTCCAGAGGTTGTAATATCCCCCCTAGAGGACATGCCAGACTCTCCAGTGTATATTCATACAGAGGTTCCATCCTTAGAGCATCTGGTGGACAGACGGCCCCGATCATTAACAGTGAATTCAGGAGTGTGAGTATGGTTTGTTACAATGATGTTTTCATGTTCATGAATTTTGATTTATTTACCAAAAGACATTTTAATGATACAAGGTTTAGGGTTCAATTTTATAGCAATATTCTTGGACTATACATCTAAGGAGAGTCAGATTTAAATTACTGGAGCTGGCAGGCACATGAAGCTAAGTGCCCTGAGACCCATCCCAAATAACTCACCTTTCACAGACAACTATTTCTGCTCTTCAGGTTTTACTACAGGGAAGAACTTTTTGATTTATTGTGACAAGTTTCTACATGTCTCTTGTTTACTGATCACATTAAAAAAAATAAGATGGCTGTCTAGAAAAAAAAATCAATTTTGTTTCCTATAACTAGGCACAGGTGACCTGAGACTTCTAATAGATCTGGTCCTCAATCTAAGATGTCCCTTTATCTGGATTTAATTGTTCTAGTACCACTTGCAGTCATCAATTGAGTGCTCCATCCACCAACAGCCAAAAACAAGTTGTGTTGTTTCCATTGGTGTAAAATTAATGGAAACCTGTCAGGAGAGAAATACTGTATGTAGACTGCAGTTGCTGGTCTCTTCTTCTGAACATGCTAGTTACCAAAATCACAGACCAAGGGTAGGGGTGTGTCTTTAAAGGAAACATGTACTGAGAAAATTGCAGAGGTTATTATTGATGACCTTCTTCTGTTATCCTGCAGATTGTAAAGTCAGATTTCCTGATTTGCATTCTCTCCAGATCAGTGCCTCAGAGAGAGTGGAAGGCACTGGGTTAGCATGACAGACAGGCAACTAGTATTTTTAGAGGAAGGGGTCAGCAGTAGCAGTCTACATATTCTTTAAGTACAGGTTTCATTTAAAACTGGAGAACATAAAATAAGATTAAGGCTTCATTCACACGTACATGCACTGCTGTACAACATGCATCTGTGCAGAAACCTGCGACTGGGAGGAACAGCTGGTGCGTGTAGCTGCATGCAGCCACCTGTTCAGCTCAATGACAGGACGAGGCTGTATGTGGCTACATGCTGACCCAAACTTGCACATGCATACAGTTATGGATACGTGCCCTTGGGCACAGCCTGCATGGATTTGCAAGTTCTGGTCAGCATGTAGCCATGCCCTGTCATTGAGTTTAACATGCAGCTGCATGCACCAGCTGTCCCTACTGAGAGCAGGTTTCTGCACGGAGGTGCACACTGTACAGCTGCACATGTCCGTGTGAATGACACTAAAAGTGCAGTAGCAACACATCAGGTTTCATCTTTTACTGTAAAATAATTTTTGTTCTAATTTTTTAGGTGCTTTTAATAAATCAAGTCTAATAGAAGATAAGGCTATAAAAACAGCTCTAGTGAATTTTTTGGGTCTGTATGATTGTAGTACAAATGTTACATTTTTGTAATTTAAAAAATCATCATGTTGTCTTCACAGCTGGTTGACATATACTGAATCTCAGTATAACGGTACAGTGTCCGTGTTAGAGGAAGGCTGCGATCTGCCGCAAATCCAAGCATGTGGTGTAAAATCAATGCGCCCTTTGAAAATGGTGAGGAACTCCTTAATTTTTTTCTTATGGTACATATATCAAAAGTGTAGAAAAGGAAACCAGAATCTTGCTGTTCTACTGCAGGTTAGGAAATACTAGGAATAATCTGATTGTTTGCTATGCATGGGGCAGACATATTTGAATCATGATGTATAATTTATGAAGAGTGCAGCGGAGTTGTCGTCCATAGCAACCTGTCAAGTTTTAGCTTTTTAACTAAAACTCCTTTCTGCAATATTTAAATACCAGTTCCCATTTTTTTTATTTCCTTTTCTGAGGGCATTTTCCCTACCTCTCATTAGCATGGAAAATGTATTAAAAGTAGTTGTGACTCTGGAATTGCTTTCCTGTAGACTTCTGTGGCTGGCAGTGATTGCACTCTGTGACTTCAGTATTCAAAGCCTAATTGTGTGGAAGGAACAAATGCCTGCTTAATTCTTTTCCCTTCATTTCAGGGCGGATTAAAAGTGCAGCTACCAAATGATCCGAAGGTAAGTGATTGAATTGCTATGGCAACAACTTTGAATACATAATTCTACCGTGCGTCCTTTTGTATGTCAGAAATAAGCTTAATTTATGAACTGTTTTACAGATAATTATATATGAAAAGCCACATTTTCAAGGGTGGTCAAGAGAGATCACAGAGGATGTCAGCAGCATCGGGAAATGGATTAGTGACGGAGACAATACTGATCCCCTAGATGTTGGATCAATTCAAGTTGTTGGTGGAATGTGAGTACTCATTTGAAAATCTTTAATAACGTTTCAAAAATCCTACAATCTCAGGTTTTTAATGGAAGGATAGATAAGAAAAACCTAAATAAGCAGGAGTGTAAAATGAAAGTCTATACACTGTATACAAAAATTGCAAATCAGTTGCATTCTGAGCCAGGAGCTTTCAGTACCACACTGGATGCAGGACAGCTCACTACTTTCATCTACACTGTCTTCCTGACCAGTATGGATGAGCAGGGTAAATAGTATTTATGCTAAGCATATCTAAACAATGCTTACCGTATATACTCGAGTATAAGCCGAGATTTTCAGCCCATTTTTTTGGCTGAAAAGTGCCCCCCTCGGCTTATACTCGAGTCAGCGTGGTCCAGTGGTCAGGTTTCTTCTTACTTACCTCGCCGAGCGTCGCGTCACTGCTGTTCCGGTGGGCGGCGCTCCGAGCGGGGTCATCTGGCAGTCTCCGGGTCCTAATTAAGGTGGCCGGAGACTGCCAGATGACCCCGCTCGGAGCGCCGCCCACCGGAGCAGCAGTGACGCGACGCTCGGCGAGGTAAGTAATAAGAAAAAAAAAAAAACCCCCCGCAGCGGCCAGTCAGGCAGGGGAGCAGGGATGAGTCAGCGGCGCGCTGATCAGGCGAGAGGAGCTCCAGGTGGGGTTGTAATTTAGCGGGCAGGCACCTCTAAGTCAGCTAAATTAGGACCCCACCTGGAGCTCCTCCCACTGGACCAGCGCGCCGCTGACTCGTCCCTGCTCTCTCCGTGATGTGATGATCGATCACCGGCACACGGACACAGTGAGTGAGGGCAGATTGGGGGGGAGGGGGGGGGGGAGAGAGAGATTTATTAAGCAATTATATATGTATTGTCTGCACTGTATTAGCAGTATATACTACATATAGAGTATATACTGCTAATACAGTGCAGACAATACATTTACAATTATACTAACATGAATGGATTAAATGATCTGTATGTAGCCCTGTACTATGGATCATTTAACCCATTCATGTTAGCAGAGGATCATTGTAAATGTATTGTTGCAGGCACTCTATATGTACATGTACTATATACTACATATAGAATGCACTGAACAATAGATTTACAATTATCCTCTGCTAATATGAATGGGTTAAATGATCCGTAGTACATGATATGTAGCCCTGTACCCCCTTTTCCACTTACAGAGCTAGGTTATTTTTCTTTTAAATAAATATTCATGTAATTTTATTGGTATCTATCTACCAGTAGCTGCCTCATTTCCCACCGTCGGCTTATATTCGGGTCAATACTTTTTCCCAGTTTTTTGTGGTAAAATTAGGTACCTCGGCTTATATTCGGGACAGCTTATACTCGAGTATATACGGTATGTTTTATTGTAGCTCCATTTATATATCATATTACCGTACTGAGCTTGTTCTGCTGTCCATTGTGAGGCTGCAAAAAAAAAAAAATTGCATACAGCAGCTAAAGCAAAAATGCAGGCTAAACAGATAGGCCTGATTCAGACGGGGCATATACGTCCATGCTGCGTGCACACCAGTAAACGGGCCGATCCAGGGAGACAGTGTGCGTCCAAGCGCGGACACCCGGACCCACACGGATTAGCAAGTTCAGGTGTGCGAATGACAGCATACAGCCGCGTTCTCTCATAGGCAAGAACAGGCTGCTGCGTGCAATTACATGCTGCACCTGTCCCTCCCGGGATTGGCCCGTATACAGGCGTGCACAGACGTGTACGCCCCGTCTGAATGAGGCTACTGTATGTAGTCTAAATACAAAAGCCATGTGTAATTTTACTTCAATATTGGTATGCTGTGCATACTTCTTCCAGATCTGTGCAGAAACAACTCCTAAACTTTGCCTTTGTGCTGGGGTTTCCTGTAATAAAGACCATTCTCTGCTGCTTTCCTTCCTTGTGACTGGTCTTGTATCCGTCCCCTCCTGTAGTTTTCTGCAGACAGCCTGTAGTGGGTGGAGCCTGCTGGGTCTTTCCCACAGCTCCGCTTTCTGCACAGGCCATGTGCAGCACAGATATACAGTAATGTAACCGCTACTTTTAAATAGTAATATTTGCATTTTAAGGCATTTGGTACACACAAAGTAGATTTATGACTTTTGCAGCTATTAAAGAATATGTTTCAGTGAAAGTTTTCGAGCCCAAAGTTCAGTTTTAACACATTCACTATCAGAGCAGAGCATAATATTTTCAGAAGATGCCAAGCATCAGGAGATCGTAGAATGTTCTTGGTAGCTGCCCTTTCTTTTCTATCCTCTTTAGTTACATGCTGAAACTTCTATACTTCCCTCTCTTGGCAAGTCAAACCATAAAGGTACTAGTATAAACTTTTGGGTCATGGTCACAGGCTCTCCCAGGCCTTTGGGAATGTTGACATATATACGCTTTGTTTACTAAGCCCTCACCCTTATGTAATAGGTATTTAATATGCCTATCATTTCCTTACTAAGGGCTGGGTCCGTGTATTCATGTAGGACTAGGAGGCCCACCGGACTTATGTGTCAATCACCAGGATTTTATTTTACTTTCCTGCTTTGTCTTATATGTATTTTCTCTCGTAATAAAAATATATTAAGCAAAATAGAAAATAGTAGTATGACCAGATTTTCCAATGCATTAGTGTGAATTAAATATATTTGACACACAGCAAGTGATCATAGATTAAATATTTTTCACCTCCTGATTTAAACAATTTCTAACCTGCATTTCCATACTGTTTAGATGGGTTGGCTATGAAAAAGAGCGATACAAAGGCTATCAGTATCTCTTGGAAGAGGGCGAGTATGAAGACTGGCAAGCTTGGGGTGGATACAGTAGCACAGTGCAGTCCATTCGGTATCTGCAGGCAGTGAGTACTCCTTAGCATCATTTTATAGAACAGGGGAAGGCACCCTCGCCACTCCAGCTGTGGTGAAACTACAAGTCCCATTAGGCATTGCAAGAACTCTGAAAGCAATGGGCATGACTCCTAAGGCATGATGGAATTTGTGGTTTCATCACAACTCTAATGCCAAGGTTGCCTACCCCTGTTATAGAGCGATATGTTTATTACTCATAATTAATTATGATTTACACCATTACACCATTACCATTACACCAATACGCCAGTAACTGTTTTCTTGGGTTGTTTTTCTCCGGGAGCCCGGAAAAAACTTTTATTAACCCTTGCAGTGGGTTTACCCCCAAGGGTTAAGTGCTTGTTTTTGTCTAGGTGATAAGAAAACTCACCTGAACCGCTGAGCCTGCTAGCTCTTAAACCGGTCCTTCCAGCCTCTCTCCCCCTCAGCTACAGCGACCTAAGGTCCCATAAATCATCACACACTATACACAGTATATAGACATGAGGACGCTGAGGAACATTTCAATGCTCCAGCATAGGAGGAGACAGGCTTCAGAGATTGGAGAAGCACAGACCCAGCTCAACTGTTTGGGTGAGTATAACGTATTTTTCTTTAGCACCTAGACAAAGACGAGCAGTTAACCCTTGCAGTGTGGGGGTAGCTCCACTGCAAGGGTTAATACAAGTTTTGCCTGGAGTTCTTGTTTAATCTAACACATTGGCTGCTTTTTCTCTCTATATTACTAAATTACATGAATATTTATGAATGTCTGAGAGTGGAATGGGATGTGGATACATAGAGTTGAGGCTGGTGATGTCAGAGCAGCATACATGACTGTATTTTTGGCTTTTAGATATAGGAGGAACAGCACAAATCTGTTATGGAGTACATGGCAATAACTATATAGTACTGGTGGAATGGAAAGTCCTGTTATAATCAAATAATCCATTTTATCCTCTTGGTTCATATCTGAGATTTTAGTTTTGGTGTTCAGTGTGCCTTTAAGTAAAAAGAGAACTCTAAAAAATCTTGATGTCCTGCTGACATACCTACTCCCTGGTCCGACATAATGTTTAACAGCCCTTAGTCTTCATGAGTTGTGAATGTACTTGATACCTATAGAGGAAGGTATTATAAGTTTAACAGCCAAGAAAAGTGAGTCTTGCTTTTTTTTACTGATAATGGCTAATTTAGTAATTTGAGGAAAGTACTTATTAAGGTAGATAATAAAGGTAAGATTTTACGAGGGTTACCTTGTTATAACAAAGGATCATCTCAACTAGACATAATAAAATAACTACATATGGTCAGCATGTAAAACAAATATATCTATCTATCTATCTATCTATCTATCTATCTATCTATCTATCTATCTATCTATCTAT